CAGTTTTGACGACTGTTGGTGGATAGTAGGTTTTGAGATCCAAAGAGTGAGACCTCCTACTTTGTTCTTCAATAGTGCTTTACTTATCTGAGGTCTCTTTCCTTTCCAAATAAAGTTAGTAACTGGCTTTTCCATATCCTTAAAAAATGTTCCTGGGATCTGGATTGGGAGTGCTTTGAATGTATAGATTGCTCTGGGTAGAACTGACATTTTCAAAATGTTCAGTCTTCCTATCCACGAGCATAGGATGTTCTTCCATTTATGTAGATCTCTTATGGTTTCTTGAAGTAGTTTTTTTAATAGTTTTCTTTTAGGTCTTTTATGTCCCTGGTAAGATTTATTAGCCATGTATTTTATTTTTTGGTAGCTCTTGTAAACGGTATTGTTTTCCTTATTTCTTTTTCAGCAATCTCTTTGCTGGTGTAGAGGAATCCAACTGATTTTTGGATGCTGATTTTGTATCCTGCCAAGATGCTAAATCTCTCAATTAGATCCAGTAGATTTTTGGCTGAGTCTCTTGGGTTTTCTAGGTATAGGATCATATCATCAGCAAATAGGGATAGTTTCAATTCTTCCTTACTAATTTGGATGCCTGTTTATTTTCTTCAAATGATTCTTTGAAACCCAAGAGAGTGGGCAGTTCTGACACATATTATCAGGAATCAACCAAGATTCTTATGAAATAACCGTATTAATAAAAAAGAATGAACATCACAGCAGATAAAATCTTGATACATGTGTTATGGGTTCAGTTTAAACTAACAGCCACTATAATCTCCACTTTTGGGTAAAAGAGATTTAGGCTCCCGACTGCAGAGAGCTGAAGTGTGCTCCTATGCTGCAGTAACAAGTCTGATTTTAGGCAGGCTTTGTAAAGCAGGCAAGCAAGTGATAATGCAGAAGCAGAAGCTGCGGTCTTAGAGTATGTGTTTTGGCACAGGTATTCATCGAGGGGTGAGGGGAGTTAGTTTTGATAACCACCTTAGAGTACGTGTTCTAGCACAGGTGTTCATTGAGGGGTGATTCAGCTGCTTTATGTGTCTAGGAGGGAGAAGAAAAAAACAAAAGGGGTACTTCCTAACTCACCAGGAGTGGAGGCAGGATGAGATATTTACTTCAGGTACGTAAAATGGAGTTTTAGCAAGATATTGCCAGCCATAGCTGGACATTACAAAAATAAAGTTACAAAATGGAGTCACTTATTTCACATGCATACTGAAAAATACTAAAATAATGAATGAGAGAAAATAGAATTCCAAAGAAAGTTCTGTTTCTAATTTGTATAGTCAGATGCTAATAACAGAACTTACTTAGTTGAAAACATCAATCTCCAAATTTTAGATTAGGTCATTGTCTCTTAAGATATTAGCTGTGATGACTTAGTATTTAAGGAAATTGTGTTCAAGTATCTTTGTACATTATGTGATTAGCTGGAACCACCATCAATGCTCATGGTCTCTTTGAGGCTGAGGCAATTTTCTTTAAATGTACTAAAGTGTAAATAACATTTTAAAAAATATTTATTTATGGTGTTTCATCAATGTTGGGTTGAAGATCAGAAAATCTTTTTTTTTAAACCCCAAATCTAAGACAAAAATCCATGTTGTCTCTCCACTGTCATTTACCACAAGATCTGGTGGTACTGTTGTTCAAACATGGCACTTCTAACCCACCAGTTGCTCTGTGGGACAAAGATGAAGCAGTCTGCTTCTGTAAAGATCAACAACCCTGGAAACCTGCTGTGGTAGCTACCCTGTCCCACAGGGTTGCTGTGAGTTGGAAAGGACTTGATGGCAGTGGTGGGTTTTTTGGTTTTGGTTATTTATCACTAGTCATTTCATTCCCAAACTGCTCAGAGATTTTTAAGAAGGCAGCACTCTTATTATAGTAGTAGTCAATAATGTAAAAAACACTGTATTATATCTGAGTAGCATGTTTTTGTTTTTTAAAATAATTTTTATTGTGATTTGGGTGAGTTTACAGAGTAAATTCATTTTCCATACAGCAGTTCACGCAGATACTGTTTCATGACATTAACTGCAATTCCCAACAATGTTAACAGCTCTCTTCCTACTTCCTCCCTGTAGTTACTTCTTTCCTGTGTCCTTTCTTATGCATTCCCACCTCCAGAGCTATCTCCCTGTGCAAATAATACCCTTCTGTCCTCCCGCAACTCACCATTCTATGGAGTGTATTTCACTCACTCACTCCTGTCAAGTTGGATCCGACTCATAGTGACCCCTCCTTGGGTTTCCAAGGTGGTATAACGACAGAAGTAGATTGCCCAATCTTCCTTCTGAGGAGTGTATCCACTTGATATAAATGTTCACCACATATGCCTGTCTATTGTTTGGCTGGAAGCCATAGGAGTGAGTTCAATTCTAGACCTGAAGAGTACTAGGGGCCAGTCCTGAGGGTCTCACCAGGCTCTGTCAGACCAGTAAACCTGGTCTTTTTTTTACAATTTTGAGTTTTGTTCCACATTGCTCTTCCACTCTATCCAGGATCTCCCGCACTGATCCTTTTCTCAGTGGTTCACACTGGTATCCAGGCACCACCAGCTTTTCTGGACTCATGGTCATATAGGCTGAGGTTCACATGGGCCACTAGTCCCTTGGACTAATTGCTTCCATGCATCTTTAGTTTTCTTCATTCTTCTTTGCTCTGAACAATGAGGAGAGACCCACTGTTTCATCTAGATGGCCATTTGCAACCTTTTAAGATCGCAGTCACTGAGTGTCGTATGTTTTGCTTTGTAAAATTTGAAGGCAAATCACCAGTCTTCCTATCATATCAAAAGAAAATATGCCTGGCTAGATTCTTTTAAACTTTGCACTTATTATTATTTAACTGTTAAATATATATGTAACACAACATTCACCATTTCACCTTCTTCACAAGTACCATTCAGTGACATTAATTATGTTTATCAATGTTCAACCATCAGCATTGCAGTGTAGTAAATTATATACTATGGCTTTTCTAGCCATAAGTCTTTGTAAACTCTGTGGTGGAATTTTCCATGAGCAACTGAGTAGCTCCTGATTGTTAAAAGTTATCCACCTGGGGTATTTCTGTTGAGCGTTGTTGTTGTTGTTGTTGTTATTTGCCGTCGAGTCGCCCCCGACTCATAGCAACCCCTCCTGGGGTTTCCGAGGCAGTATCACTACAGAAGTAGGATTGCCCAACCTTCCTTCCGAGGAGTGGCTGGTGGGTTTGAACCGCCAGCCTTCTGGTTAGCAGTCAAGTGCCTTAGGCACTATGCTACCAGAGCTCCTTAAAAGTTATCCACCTGGGGTATTTCTGTTGAGCGTAGCATCTAGTAATTTTCCGAGAAGTTTGCACTCTCTCAGGTGTATGCAATTCTGATGTTGAAATTGGTTAGTCTGGTCACTCTGCCAGGCTCAAAAAGGAGCCCTCCTAGAGGCATAAGAAGTGAGTCTGAATGCTGGCTGAGAAAGACGTACTGGTGAGAGAAACACACGCCTGAGACATGCGCTGCTGAGAGAGAGACACCGAGAGACACACATTGCTGAGAGAGAGACATTGAGAAATACGCACTGCTGGGAGAGAGACTGAGAGAGACTGTTGGCTGAGAGACGGCGGGCTGAGAGTAAAGACTGAGCGTTGTTCCTGAACTTGAATTGTAGCATGGTGTTTCCCTAATAAACCCCATAATCTGTGAGTTGTGTGTGGCCACTGCAGCGAATTATCAAATTCAGCAGAGAGGTGGTGGGTGCTGCAGGAGGAAGAGTTGGTGTCAGGGTTGGTGAAAGGGCTGGAGGGAGGCAGCATGTCTAGCCTCACAGGAGTAGGCCTTGGGCTACTGATGGGATTCTGTTTTCCTCTTGTGGGATTAGAGGAGGTCAGAAGATGCAGCCTCACTGCTCCTTTAGCAACCATTATACATTTTTATCATTCTTAATAGAAGCTGTGTCCCCTAAGAGATAAAGCCCCATTTCCCCCTGGGCTAGATTTTAAAACAACAAAAGGTTTATTGCTAAAAAATTTCAATAATAAATTTCAGTACAGCTTAACATATATGATAGTTATCTTTGAAATGCTAAAGATATTGAAACTAAAACTTCAAGTGACTAAACACCAATGTAGCTGCTTATTGTAATATACTTCCAACATTTATAGCTGAAATCTAGCTAGAGTTATAGCACAGTAATAAATGCTTATTTTCTGAACTTGATACATTCCCAATTTCTTGAAAATGATTTAAAACAAAATCAAATCTTAGCCATTTCTAACTTTATGGCTGAATATCCTAATTGGAATTTTCTTCAAAACTCTTTTCTTAGTTATTTTTGCATTTTTAGAGATAAAAATTGGGGGAAAGTTTTGGAATTCCAATTTGAATCAGTGCCACGATAACATTCAGAATACTTCTGTGGAGAACTTGTGGAACAAGCGCTCCTGCCAGTATTCTTTTGTAAGACAGGCTAAATTGAGTAAGAAAGGATGAAAACAGCTTCCCTTGGAAGCAAGTATCACTCTTTCACAACCTCTTCAATATGGGATAATAGGTTTCGTCACAAGTTTGAGGATTCAGCAACTCTGGAAGATAATAAAAAATGCTTTAAAAAGAGTTATTGTTAGGTGCCACTGAGTCATCAGTGACCCCATGTAATAGCAAAACTGTCCCACAGCGTCTTCTTGGCTATAATCTTTACAGAAGCAGATTGCCAGGTCTTTCTCCTAGAGAGCTGCTGGGCAGATCAGAACTACCAACTTTTTGGCCAAGCACTTAACCATCTGTACCACCAGCGTGCCTTGTAATACATAAAATGTACTGTATTGACATTATTTCCAATTATTTCAAAGGGTGATATAAAATTCTGAAAATTCATTTCAAGTTAATAACTATCACATAGCCCTCTGAATAGAAAAGAAGCAAGTATTACAAAAGCAAAGCATACTATTGTGTTCTAAATTTTACGACAGTTAGGAATCATTGAGACAAATACTTTTTGTTTTTACTTTGATTCACTGACTTCCAAATAGCCATTTGTTCTTTTCCCAAATCAAAATGTCAACACTTACATCTTTCAATTTTCTGATGGTTTCAGTTTGGTCTTCTATGATTTTACTCTTAATTCTTAAAGCATCACAATCACGTTCATTTGTCTTTCGTAGAGTTTCATTCTCTCTACATAAATTTTCAATTTTGGCTTCTAAATTGCCTCGATTTTGGGCCAAAGAAGCTCCTAGGAAACAAACATCATCAGGAACAGACTTTAACAGACTTAGGAAGTTTTGTGTTTTATGAAAATCTAATTGAACAATGCATTAACAATAAAAAAAACTCTAAGAAACAAAAATACTATAACATGAAGACAAAGAGGAAGAGAACAAAGAGGACTTTTAAAGATCTGTGGCCATTTAACAATCTAAAACCATGAATAAAGAAGACTAGGTAACTCAGACATGTGATAATTAATTGGTCATATTATGCCACCACAACAAAATCATTATTAAAAATTCCTACATGGAACGGACAAATGAGCAATGCTGCATTAAGGCCAATAGCTATTTATAATTTAAAGTATCTATGAATGCCATAAAATAGTGTTCAGTTCTTGCTTTATAGTTACTGCAAAGGAAATGAGGCTGAGGATTTCCTAAACCTAAGTGATTTTTATTACTACACTATTTTACATCTTTGCATGTAAAGTAGGGTAAATGTTACAAACATCTCAAGAAAAAAAAAATGAATGCTGCATACTGTATAAAGAAATAAAATCACTCTTAGGATGTATCTCCAACAGCTTATTTAATAGTAGCACTGTAAAGGTGTACTTGTGAGGTGTAGTAAATGACTTAGTGTGGATTTTCTACCCATAAGTCTTTGTAAACTCCAAGGTGGGATTTTCAATGAACAACTGAGGAGCTCCTGATTGCTGAAGTTGTCCACCTGGAGTATTTCTGTT